TTTTTTTTTTTTCCCTGCAGTATTGTGCAAAGCAAATGTTCTAATTTGGTTTGGAGGATTTGCTGCCCTGCAGGCTGTGTAACCTGGGTGAACAATGAGCAGAAGATCCTCCAGCTGGAGACTAAGGGCTTTCAGCATCTTCATTCACTTTTTGAGTTGCTGATTGCTGATGATCCTTTCTCTGAACTCCTTTTACACAGAGTAACCTCACGTTTGCTTCAGGAGCATTTTGGAGAACACTGAAGTATTTTACAAAATCTGTTGCTGCTTATGGGGGAAGTGGCCTGCTTCTCCTTTATTTTATTGCCTAGAAATGCTGTTTCATGGGCATATTCCATTTTTACCCCCATTCTTTAGGGAGGAATTTGCTAGCTTTTCACACTACTCTTAGCTGTGAGATAAATGTCTAGGCTTGAACAGTCTGAAGAGAGCTAGTAAAGTGGCCATGCCTTGCACATGGTCGTGCTTGGATTGAGTAACGACTTATGAAGTCTTTGTGCTTCTGGCTGAGCTCAGTTTCATCTTGTTTGTTAGGAGATCAAATGGGTTTGTTTTCTGTAGTGGCTAATGCAGCTTGGTGCTTCAAAGAGCTGACAACCAAATGATCTCTGACTTGTAGGTTTGTGTTGTGTGTTTCTTGTTTTGTTTTTGGTTTGTTTTTGGTTTTTTTTTTGGTCTGAGAGCTGTTGCTTGTGTTAAACAGGCCATGAAACATTTAGGACCAGACTTCTGAAGTATGTGAGCCTGTGCTCACAGCAACTAACTGAGGTGAGGCACAGATAAATTGATTTTTTTATCTTCATTTATTTGCGTTGAAACCCACATCTTTCTCTCCTGGTGAGGAGCAGCATCCAGATATCTGACCAAGGTAAACATGCACCTGTTGCCACTGAAGATGAATAGATCACACAGACACAGGTCGAGGTGTGGTGAAAGGAAGAGCAGAGTTTATTTTTCCTCCCAGGATTTATAGGTTTCTGACCATGGCCAGGGATTGGATGGTCAGGATAACACTTTCTCACTGCACTGGCCATGAGAGATGCCCATCACAAGACATGTAACAGAAAGAATGTACACATATCCATGTTTACAGTTACTGTCCTGGGAAAGTCCTTAGAAAACTATGTCAGCAAGCTCAGAAGCTGAGTTTTCAGGGGGACATGCACCTTCTTTCTTTTCTATTTATTTGTTTTATTTATTCTATTTTAAAAATATTTATTTTATTTTATTAATTTATTCATTTATCTTTGTGGGGGCTGAGGAAGGGGGAAGAGGAGAAAATATGCCGAGGGCAGAGATTGTTCTTGACTTTTCTCGTGAAATTCTGACATTAATCTAACAGGTTGTAGAAGTTGGTGGTTTTTGTTGTGTTTAGGTTTTGGGATTTTTTTTTTTAACAAAAAAACCCCACAAACTGTGAATTTGAGCTGGTCTTTAGCACATGAAATATTCATCTGTTTGAAGTACAGACATGAGGTCTCTCAAGCCAGTAGCCACCCTGTAGGGTCTTGAGCAGAATGTAGCTTACTCTAGAAATAGTAATAGGAGCAAGACCCATACCAGAGAGGAGCCTGTTGTGATATTTTGAAATCACCACATGTAAGAACAGTAACTTAGGACCTGTACTGTGAAAGTAATTTGTTGCCATAAAACATGTATTTAAAATTGGATTCTTCTAAATATATTCTGTAACTGTTGAAATGGATGTGTGGACTGGGTTAGGAGATGCAAAAGAGTTCAGAGCAATTTCTGTGAATATCATACAGGAGCCATGTATAGATGTACAGTTTTAAAATTGAACTGAATCAATGAGATGAACATTATGAAACAAATTCAAACTGCTCCCCAAGGAATCAAACTTGCAATTTTCAGCACTACCATTCCTTTGAAATCTAGAAACATAAATATGTTCTTGAACTGGATGTGGAACATCTCTGCAAATAAAAGGTAGATCTACTAAATGTGTTATGAAATTTGTTAAAATTTGGTTCAGCAGGGCATAAAATGTACATGCACAGGTTTCATTAGCTCAACCCATGTTACTTAGAATGGTGATAAGCACTATCTCAATCCGTTATCTAACAATAATCTTCTAAATTGCAGTATGTTTAAATTCCAAATATCTTTGCTAGTGCAATAAGTGAAAGGAGCTTCTCCTCTCTGAAGATGATTCATTTTGGAAAATGTCCTTGAAAAAATCTTCTTGTATCCTAGCTAAGGATATGCATATTAAGTCTAATCTGCAGTTTTAAATTCTGCCAAAGATGAAGATTTATGATTGAGGTTAGATTAAACCATGGCAATATGGTTTTGGTTAGTATAACAGCAAAGTGTGTAAGTGAATTTTAAGCTACAGAAAATACAATTTCTTGTTCATAGTATCTATGTCATTTAATCTGTATTGGAGAAGTCATGGATATAGGATCTCAGTCATTATTACTCTTAACAGACAATTACTCTTCTACTGACTCATGTCCCCTCACATACGGTTTGCTGCTTCTCAAGCCACTTCTAGACTATTAAATGGCCACATGACTCTTTTGAGCTAAACGTGGATCTTCAATTGTAGCTTGTATTTATGCAGTTGACTTTTTGTCAATGTCTCTCATTCCTTATTTTGCCTTGCATATTCTAGTTGCTTTTATTTTAAAATATGAAGGGATTTCAAATTTTTTAATTTAATTTATTTGGGGGACCTAATTATTAAAATAAATAATTTTTTTATTGCCTGCTGGGAAATACTGAACTATATTTTCAAGAATTAAATCTTGCCCAACCAGTGTTCTGCATGTTAGTAGTCACCAAATAGAAGTAAACAGCTTCACAGATTTTTTCCAGCTTGGTCTTAAATGTTTTGTTTTAGTGTGTTTAGTTGGTCATTTGATTCTATATAACATCATTTGGATATGTTATATATGTATATATATATAATCCTGTCTGTGATAACTGAGAGAGATTTTCATCTACCTGTGCTTTAGTTACCAATATCAACTCTATCACTTCCATGTTCATTCCACCAAGAGGAAAAATAGTGCACAGTGTTGCAGCTGACTCTTTGACCTCTGCACAGTGTAAAATGGGAGGTTCATAAGGATTAACGGGGTCTGGTGTGCTCTGAAAATGGAATTATGTTAAATGATTAAGAAAACCTAATCTCTCTGGATTTTATCAATATATTGTGTAACAATCTGTGTGAGCAAACAGCTACTGAGCAATATGCTTTTTAATAAAAATGTTGTGTTTGTTTTGTATAATATCTAACAAGGGGAGTCTAAGAATTTAGTGGGAATGAAAGCAGCAAAAGGGTACAGGACTTCCTCTCAAAAGTCTCAAGAATTAAATCAAGTGGATTTTTTTCCCCCAAAAATCTTGACATCCTTTATCCTGAGGAATGATTCTCAGATTTTTTATTCTAATGGTCCTGAGCACCCTGCAGTTGCTGATCCTCTTGAGTGTGTGTGGGTGGACTTCCAGCCTCAGCTGCTGTGTCACTCTCTGGATTTAACTGGAATTTGCCCTAAAGGATAACTGGAGAGGATTGAATTTTGCCCATAATCTCTTTCTTTCACAGTTCAGAGAGGTGAATTGCTCTGCTTTTTGTTTAGGGTGGCCATGAAATTTTGTTGTGTCAAATTTCTCTTTTGATTAACAACATGAATTTAATAGAGGTGACTGTTGTTTGCTTATGTGCTTTAAATTAGCATTAGAGGAGTCTGTGTTCTTGGGAGGAGGTGCCAGGGAACTCTGAAATGAATGGCATCACTTCTTTAATGCTGGAATTATTATGTTTAAAAAATATAACTGGACATGAAAACAGAAGTCCATGTAGTTAGCTGAATTCAGTTACCTTTTTGCATGATTTAAGGTTTCTAAAAAAATGCTTTCTGAAGTGTTTTAATCAGTCTGCATGATATGAAAATTTCTAGTAGATTTTTAAAGAGAAGATTGTAGAAAAATAGCTAAAACTTTTTTTTCTCTGTAATCATTAAGATCTTTACTAAATTTTAGAAATGGAGATGTGTTTGCCATTGAATATTGAGTGCCATAAGGAACCCTCACTTGCTGCTTTCAGATTAACATTGTTTATTGTAGCAGACTTTATTATCATAGGGAATTGATCAAAATTTTTAAAATTAGTCTTTTATTTGTGAGCTTGTAGTGAATTCTAAAATTTCCCCATATTTACATGAAAACAATAAGATTCATTATGTCTCAAATTGTTACTTACTGCCTGACCAAAGTCATGTCTCCATCAAGGTGATCTGTGCCTATTGTCTATCAGCTGTTCACTACAAAACCACTGCAATGTATCCTGGTTTAAATTATGGGAGAGGTAAATTTCATGGCAGAACACAACAGCCCTTTGTTGCTACTTGAAGCTCATTCTAAATCTAGATCTAAATCTGAATTTTGACTTCCATTATATGCTTATTAAAACCATGAAGTTCATTCATTAATCTGAACCTCTTACTCTGAGTGTTCAGTTTTTCTTCCTCCCCTTCACCTTGTTTTGTACAAATCCTTTTTCCATTATCCATATTACTGTTATTTTCAAGAGGTACTGGAAAAACAATGTGTTTTCTTGTTGAAATAGATAACACAAAAAAGATTCAGTAACTAATGCCATGGGTATTTCCAAGGGCAGAACAGTGCTAATGTAACAATGAACAAATAATACAACCCACCACAGAGGGATTTCAAGTCTATAAAACAAATAACTTGTATGAATATGATAATAGACCGATTGGGTTCAGAAGTGATTTGCATTGGTACAGCTACAGGTCTGTTTTGAAAAATGTAGCTGGATGTCAATTTGAATATTTTCATGATCTGAAAAACATCACTGTCAACTTCTTTCTTTATTCAGAAATTCTTATGCAGGAACTACAAGAAATCTGTGCTCATACAGAAAAATAAAGACAGTGTAACCAGGCTGCATAGCTGAATATAAACATCTGGAAGGTGGAAAGTAAATTACTATTTTTCATTTTAATATTCAGAAATTTCATCAGGAGAGTTTTCTGCTCAACATCAAGATATGCCACAGGATGACCTTTCCTTCCAGATTTGTGTTGAGCCTTGTAAAAGACAGCTGGGTGTAAGGTATGAACCCTTGGCATGGTGAGGATTGACCGTGCTGTTGTGTGAAGTGGGCTTTAAAGCAACAGAGAATTTTTTTTTTTGCTCCTTTTACTGATTGTTACTGATTTCTGTTCGAGATGACAGCCTCCTCTCTGCCTCTGAGGCTAGATCAGGTTACCTGCCTGCAGAGCTGCTCCTTAGAGCTGGGTGCCTTTTGTGCTTGTGTAGCCTCCAGTAAAGGCATGTGTGAATATATTACATAGAACTTATGGAATGATTTTTCAACTCGGTTAAGGCGGGCACAAAATAATTAAACTTGTTTTTCAGGGGTGAAATCAGTCTATACTAGAAAAAAATCCAACAAAAGCAATGGAGAAATATTAGTAAGACTAATCATCCAAAGGGGAAAAAACAACTGTTCAGGCTTTGAAGTCAGCCTGAATCATGCCCGCTTTTAAACAAATACTTAAAACAAAATAATTATTCCTCAATTTTAATTACATTTAAGCCTAAAAACAAATCTGTATCCTAACGATACAGGTTCACTTTTTGGTTGCATACTTTATTTTTGTAGAGTCTTAAGGTAGTTACTTAATCTATAATTTACAGCTTTTATTCAGTAAAATACTTTGACAATATACTTTTCTTTTACTTTGTGTGTCATGCTTGCTTTTAAGTACAGCTGCTTTGAAATCTAGTAATTCAAACATATTTCAGGTTAACTGAATTCTTACTCCCCAAGAATTAGTCCATTATGAAATTCAATTACTTCAAAAAAAATATTTCTATCATATGGAACAATTCAGCAATGGAGTTAACACCTCATTCACACCTTAAATAATTTAATCACTGACTTAAGGGAATTAAGTGCTGAATTTAAATGCAATCTTCTAGCACCGTGTGTTTGGAAACTTGTAGATAAAAGATCAGTTTAATCGAATTGTGGTGCCTCTTGTCTCATATCTAGCAGAGCACAGATGCAGATCACAGTATCTGCTCCATGTGATGCAGCTGTGCAAAACCACAAAGGACAAATACAGTGGAAAAAACCACCTTTGAGGGACTAGAGCAGCTGCATGTACAAAATCATGAGCAAAATCAGATCCGAAAGGTAACTGAGAAGGTCACTTACTACACCATTTTAGGAGTATTATATCAGTGTAAAGTAGCTGGAAGGTGCCCTTATTATGAATGTTGTGTATGTGTCTGATCAGACTGTCATGTTGTTTTCTGTGTGGAGCCACAGAGCTTCTGGCAAAAAAAAGATGAGAGAAATTTAAAAACATACTAGCAAGTATTTTATTGACTTTGTATTGCAATGTCTCTTTATTGACACAAGTGACTTTTACAGCACTTTTGCTTCTGATGCTAAAACTGTATTTGATGTCTAAGGTTTTACAGGTCTTCAGGGGAAAAATTGTATGGTAGAGTAAACTTAAGACTCTGAATTTAGAAGGCAGTAGTTTACAGGATTGGTAGTGACCCTAATGCCACACTTGGGGGATTATACACTTGGGGTTAGTCTGCCTGTCCTGATCTAAACAGGGGACAAATCTGATGGGTGTGTCATTGTATTGTTTGCTTTTAATGAGGTATTTGATACAGAATCTGGCCAGAACTGCTGGTATGTAGCAGACTATAAATCTAAGCCCTCTTTGCCTTGCTAAGAGTCATAGTTGGCTGCAGACCAGTGATCAAATCCCTGAGCAGGCAAGGAGCACAAGCTGTTGGTGAAGAAGATGTTGCTGTCTGTGGCTGTGCAAGCCTAACAGAGCAGCTAAAGAGAGCTTGGAGCTGCAGCTGATGAATATAAAGACAGAGTAAACCTGGTTCTCCCAGGGCAGATTTGGCAGTGGAGTATAGGATAGGAATGATAAGCTGGGAAAACAGCTCCTCTTTTTAAGAGTACTGGTTGAGGAACTGAACATTTTGAGACCATCATTAGCAGTTCTGATACTTAGAGGTCTGAGGGAAATTTGATTTACTTTCATTAAAAGTTCATGCTGGCAAGGGAAAAGGTTAAAACAACTTCTTTTCCTATTAAGCTATTGTAGAAAAAATCCTTGATGATTGCCTCCCTGAATGTAATCATCTGATCAGGTTTATATCAAGAGAGTGAGTTCCATAAACACCTTGTTTTTGTGAGAAGTAGGTGGACTGAGATTACTTTTTGGTGAATCAGTTATTTAACTCCAGCTCCAGGATGGTCTGGCAGGGCAAATGACACAAGACAGTGTCTGTCCTGGGTGTATTAATTGTGCCTTATCATGAACCATGGGTGAATTCTGGCATATTCCCAGGACTTGCTCAGAAGCCTCTGAAAACGTATCAGCTCCCACATAGTGAGTTTGTTTACTTCTGTGTATAAACAACACAGGTGCCAGTGTTACCTGAGTGCTGGGCAGCTGAGGAAAGCCAACTGCCCCATGGAATGCAGCATTGAGGGCAGGGAAGCTGTAAGGGGTGCAGGTACCACAGCTACCAGACAGGGCTGCCAGGCTCAGCATCTTCCCTTTCTAGTTTACAGGTGCTAACCTAGTGAGCACTACATGAGGCACTGGTGGGGTTGATTGTGTGGTTTTTGAGGTCCCCAAAGTATCCTAAAGCTCTGTCCAAAATGAAAAGCTAAGTAGTAGCATTGCACTGGTCATGACAAATCCCAGCAGCTATTAGAGGGTTAGCAATAGCTAAAGCTGTGGCTAATGGTATCATTTTATTGAAAGAGTCTGTGTTGGCTAGTACATATTGATTAACTCCCTCTACACATTTTTGAGAGTCTTAGAGTCCTTAATTTCTCTTTTAAAGTCTCTAGAGGTAAGCAAAAGAGACCTTGTAAGTACTTACCTGAAAGGCAGCACTTTAAGCTGTGCAACTTCCCCATGCTGTGTAGTACACCAGCAGGAGTACCTTAAACACAGGTTTTTGTGAAGATTTCCATATGATTCCCTTCTAGTTCAGCCAGGTTTCTAACTCCTCTGAGCTGGTGTTGTTGATTAAGTGCTTCATACATTTCTGTACCCACACTGCTGCTGCTGCTGGGCTTCTAAACTTGAAGAACTTGAAGAAAGTAAAAGGCAACTGTCTTGAAAGACACTCTTCCTCTGATAAGCCTCTTTGCATCACACATATGATTTTTTGGATAATAGTAGTTGCAGGCTTGGCTTACAGTTCACTCTGCCAACTCTATGCTCAGAATATGGCACTGAAAGGATGTTCAGTCTGCATTAGCAACAGCAAACCACCAAAATCCTTATATAAAGAGAAATTACTGCATACTGCTGGTGTTTAAATCCTGTTGGTTTGGCACAAAAAGTTTAAGGCAGAGAAGTGTGTTCAGAACACAAAGGGTTGAATACAGAATTGCTGAAGTTTGCTTTTAAGAATGCCATATCTGAGTGAGGTGTGTGTGTGCACCCACTTGTTAGATATTTGCTTTGTGGAATAGGTTCAAGCACCTAAATCAGAAAAGTTGCACTGCTTTGAATGGAGATACATTTTATATTGTAATAGTTTGCTGGGAACTTTGCATAGGCCTGATAATGACTTGGTTAGCTCTGAAAGCAAAAATTGAAAACAATTGGGCTGAGTGCTTTTGAATATCACATTATTAATGGTTTGATGCTATTTTTGTCTTCTTAGGCCCTTCAAGGTGAAAAAATTCTCACTATTAAATCTTCCCAGTGTGTCACTTTATCTCCTTGAAAACTGATTAAATGGGTGGTATTTAAAGAAATCAGCTTGTGGTCAGTAATTACTGATTTCTTTATCAATTTCTTTAGTGGTTGCATGCATTTACGTGTTAGTCTCATTCTCTATCAACAATTTGCACCTTAAAGAGACCCTGGAGCCTTGTGTCAGTGTTAATATTAGAAAGAATTTTTCTTCTGATAACAGTGGGTGTCAGACCCTGATTTTAGGTATTTACATACAGTAAGGAAGATGTATCACTTTTGTGCTCAAATATTAGAGGCTTATGTTCTGAAAATATGTGTTAGGATTCTGCAGCTCTGGTCTATTTAGCACTTGTGCTTTGCTGGATCAGTTCTGAGAAATAGTACCTAAGTGATTTTTCATTTTACAAGAAAAAAAAAATCTTTTAATAAAAATCCTTTTAGTAGCAGCTCTAGCAAATAAAAGCTGTTCACATTTACTGTTAAACTGTCTATAAAAGAGACCTTACAAACCAGCAGCAGTAACAACAGAGCTCCTATACTTGAACAGGAAAAAGAAACTTCCAGCCTACTAATGTGCTCTTTGCCCTGCTCAGTGGGTCCTTGTTATCTCAGTGGTGCCTGAAATTTATGGTAAAGATAGCCTACTTTTCTCTACTGTGAGCCGTGCCGTTTGTGAGCTCTGCTGAATGCTTTGCTCCCTTTCATGCAGCAGAATTCAAAGGCTAAAATGGTACCCTACTATGGCATGCTGGGCAGCTGGTAGTGGGCTTGGGAGAGTTGTGTACAATGCAGCCTAAACAGGAAACAGTTGTGTAAAGTGAGAAAAAGCTGTAATTCTTAAGAGTTCAGGGAATCATCAGCTTGCTAGTAATTACAGTCCTATCTCCTATATTGCAGAAACCTGCTAACCTAATTTGGAGGAAGAGCTGGAAAGTGAATTTGAAGGTTTTTATGCCTTTTCTTAAGCTGCAAACAAATATGCTTTGTTTTTGAGAAAAGGAGTACATTGGAGGACTGCTGGGGATGTGGGTTTGTCAAGCCAAGTCACTTTTGAGCTTTTTAGCACAGGCCAGACATCAGCTCAGTACAAATGTTTTTTTGCTGAGTAATTTCCACATATGCAAATGCTTCTTAATGTGATGTGAAGAAAATAGTTTCATTTTACTTGCTGATTTAGTGTTAGACTTGTTGCTTTGCCATTGCTCATACATTTTTAGCAGCCAGTTTTTAGTCCAGGGAAAAAGCAAATGGATTTGGGAGGACCTCCACTAACGTAGTTTGCTCCAGTGACTCTTAAAGGCAAATGTTGGACTCTGCTCCCCTTCAGCTATTGTCTAAGGCACAGCC